TAATGTAGGGGCCTGAATAATTAGAATAGGGTTTTGGGGTATATTCCATTATAACTATAATAAGGAACCCCAAAACAGTATAGGCAATTATTCAGGCCCCTACATTACCCTCCACATGCCGCCCGTGTGATTCCACGTTCGACAAACACCCATGGGTTTACCCAAACTCTACATGGAATTGATTACAACCCAATGAAACCCCCAAAAGGACGAGTACACAGAAATCCTGCCGTTTAGGATCCGATTCTTCGGCACATTCGTTCTTTGGGTTCGGACCTGACTACCGGAACCAAAACTTTGCCGAGGACGCCAGCAAACACTCAAACTCGCATAGTAGCGGGACTCGTGCTCCAAGACGCGCTCCATGCTATCCATGAGCATCAGCGTCTGCACGGCTTGAATATCCAGGCGCATCGGAAGTAAGCTGATAGGGTTCGCAACGATGTACCTTAGGGCTGACAGACTCAAGCGAGTCCGGAGAAAGCCAACACCCAACAGATCAAGGAAACAAGAAAAAATTGCAGATCCCGTCCAGCTGCGCTGCCCCAACCAGCAGGGCATGCTGCTCTTTGCGGAGCTTACTGCCCGATTTGATGCCAAGGACAATTAGAAGCCCAGGGTGCCTTCAACTTTGCCAGAACCGTGCATGAGAGAAGATTTCAAGATCACAACTGAAGTTGGTATAACTATTCTAATTTACCTAAACCTCGAGAAGCAAAAATACCGACTTATTAACAGGCGAAAAAGGAATGTCTCACAACTTCCCGGATACCCCTTGGAGAAGAACCTGCTCTGCTGGTCCTGTCAAGTGCACATGGCGAGCACACAGAGAGGCCCTCGCCTACGGAATTGCTACGACTGCTAATGTAGGAGCCTGATTATGCAACCCTGGTCCGATGACCCCAGAACATTAGGATCCATAAAGAGAGCCCCAAGAAAGTCCTCAGGTTTCATAATCGGGTTGCTATATTACTGACTACTTCATTTTGCCGCCGAAAACACGGAATCAGCTGCGATGGCCACTGTCTGGTACCGATCGGACCAGGACTAAGACTGTTTCTTGTAACGGCTACTGTGACGACGACTATTTAGACCACTACGACTACTCCTGCTACTGCCACTGCCACTGCCACTGCCGCTGCCGCTGCCGCTGCCACTACCACTACCACTACCACTACTACGACCACGATGATCACTACTACCACCGCTAGTATGACTGTAACCCTGATTCCTTTTTGCATCCAGCCTGCAAGAGCCTCTGCTGGCTTAGAGCAAATCTTCAAGTCTGCAATAACCCTGACTCCTAGTAACAAGAACTGCAGCAATCTCCTTATCCTCACTGTCGTCGCAGGTTGGAATCGTGCTGGCATGAGAACTGTCAAAGGTAGTTGTTATCATCCTTACAATGAGTGCAAGCCCCGCTCTCCCATTTCTCTGCTGTGCCCAGACCTCACCTTTGTCCCCTACCAAAATGGGGGTTTCCGAAAATAGGGGACCCGAATATAGTACCCCAGATAGTAGGATCCTTACGAAAAGGACCCCAAAATAAGGTACCCCTTATTTTCGGAAACTCCCAAAATAGCAGTGAAGGTCTGCTGCATGGCGTTGGAGGGGTCAAGATGGGTCAAGGGTCCCGGGCTTGCAATTACCGGCTCTGAGCTTCCTGCAACCCTCAAAGCCCAAAAAGAGCTCAAAGCCCAAAATACACAAACCCTCAAAGCCCAAAAACCTCCAAGAGCCCACATCCCCAAACCAGCAACCCCATACCCCAACTCAATTCCTGCCCGGTCCTTGTTCAGGGCCCCCTGTTTCTGAGCCAGCCAGCGGCTGTTAGTGGCATCTCCGAGGTCCACCTGCCAAAGGAACAAGCACACCCTTGCAGAACCCACGGCGTAAAGAAACATGGCACATGTCTACATAAGAAATATGCGTGCATAAATATATATGTATATATGTATGCACACATGCACGCACGCGGGGTCTGGAGCAGTCGGGCGTAAGTGAGTTTAAAGTTCAAGGCTTGTAAGGCTTAAGGCTGCGAGTGCGAGTCGTTCGGGATCCCAGGTCCACTTCCACGGTGTTCCCGAGATCGAAGCGCGAATGTCGCCAGAGGACGGCGATGCCCATGCCAGACTCCGAACAAGCCTGGAGGCTTCCCAGAGAGCCCAATACCCCTCAATTCAGGAATATACCATAAATCATAATATTCAGGCCCCTTAATTAAGGAATATATGGGCCTTAGTATTATGAGTTTAAGTTAAGGTATATCCCTTAATTAAGGGGTATTGGGCTTTCTGGGTCCCAACCTTCGGCCAAGGGTTTCCATAGCCGTTTAAGGGTCGTAGGGTATTAGGGCTTTAGGGCTTTAAGGTTTAGGGCTTTAGGGCTTTAGGGCTTTAGGGTTTTAGGGTTAGGGTTTTTAGGGTTTTTAGGGTTTAGGCTGTAGGGTTTTGGGCTTTAGGGTTTTAGGGTTTAGGGTTTTCGGGTTTAGGGTTCAATTCCATGCCCAAGAATTTCTTGCCCCTCACCCTCAGCCTCGGGGCTGATTTTTGAGGTTCTGGACTTTTAGGGTTTGGGGTGTCGGGAAGAAGCATCTGAAACCCGAAACCCCTGGGCCCTAAACCCTAAACCCTAAAGCCTAAACCCTAAACCCCTAAACCCCTAGGCCATAAACCCTAAACCCTGAATTTTACCATGGCCCCTAAACCCTAAACCCCTAGGCCCTAAACCCTAAACCCTAAACTTTACCATGGCCCCTAAACCCTAAACCCCTAAACCCTAAACCCTAAACCCTGAACTTTACCATGGCCCCTAAACCCTAAACCCCTAAACCCTAAACCTTACAGCCTAACTAGACCCAAACCCAGCCTACAAACCGGGCCGGCAGCTGCACAGCAAACGCCAAACCCGGCACCCTCAGTTTTTTTTTAGTTTGGGGGTTTAGGACTTAGGGTTTCCTAAACCCTGGAGAGCTTTAACCCAATGAAGCTTTCGGGTTTAGGGTTTAGGGTTACTGGATGGAATATACGGCTGCCGACCTTACATAACCAGACTGTCGTATACCCCAAACCCTATTCCAATTCTTGGCGTCTTCCTCATTGACGGTACTGGGTAGTCTGTTCCCAGAGAGCACAACAATGCCCCCTAGTAAAGGAATATAGCTGAAATCACAATCCGAATCCCCGTAAAGAAATTAAGGTACAGTACTTAATTAAGGGGTATTGGGCTCACTGGGTTGTTCCTTAACCGGTTTAGAAATATGACACCTTGTAGTGCCTTGTAGTATAAGGACTTTAGTACAACACAGGGCTTAGAAGGCCAAGGCCGCCAAAGCTTTGATGTTACGAGGGTCCATCCTTGAGCGATGACTTTCGCTCTTTGACTTGAAAACGGGGCTTTCAGATTCTAAGCCGGCTCCAGCTGGCATCTGAGCTCTAGGACTGATAGACCTTAAACCCCTATCCCCAAACCCCTAAACACTAAACCCTAAACTCTTAAAAAAACCCTAAACTCTAAACCCCTCACCCCTCAACCCTAAACCCTAAACCCTAAACCCTAAACCCTAAACCCTAAACCCTACCCAAACCCTGAAGCTCTGGGCTTGGGCCTTAGCTCTAGCTTTCGCAGGGGCATCCGAGCTCCAGGGGCTGAGAAGACTAGGCCCTCTAAGCCTTCAAGGGAAGCCCTGAGCTCCATACAGTCTTATAAACCATAAATAAATATGAATTATATATATATATATGTTTATGAAAATCATAATTATTATTCTAAGAGAATTTCTATTAACATTAACCATATTGATATTATATTGGCCCTAAACCCTCTGAACCCTAAGCCCTCCAATGGCGCATGGCTCAGGAGAATGCCTGGCGTTGGGTGCGACTTTTTCAAATATGCTCAAAGAACAAACTAGAAGCATACAAGATATGGCTGCATGCTTTTGCAACCTGACACTGACATGCCAAATCTCAATGGACTGACCAACATTGCAAGTCGTTTCATGTCACGAAACACATACTTCTGCGATGTCACATTTCCTTGCATGAAGTCAGACAAGTGACCCCGC